ATGTTCTCTACAAGGCACAAATTCTAAGAACAAGCAATATGTATTACAAAGAAAAAGAATCCCACAGTCAAGTAAGTTTGGAGTTTGCTGGTTAAGCAACACTTAACCAGTTTCTTTACCATATGACTTCTGAACCTTTAGTAATCCTTTTCCTGGAGCTTCCCAACCACATTTTGAAATGCCTACACTCCTGTCCAGGATAAGCGATGATTCCAATGCCCCAAGCCTTAGCAAACTATCAACAGTTGGAGCTTTTGACAAAAGTGGGATACAAGGAAAGGCCCATTTGGAGGCAGATGTAGTCTGTGAAGAGGTCAGGTGGAGACAATGGGGAGAGCTCAGGAGGAAGCATAAGCTGGAGACAGCTGGGAATCGTTCACAGGGATCAAGGTTAAGTCTTAAGACTAGACCAGATACTTCTGCAGAAACATTAAGACTGGTCTTTCAAACTTCCTTGCCTTACCCCATCTCCAGCTTTAGTATCTTCTGCTGGTCTCCAGCAATAAATCTAGAAAAACATCAGGACATGGGGTAGGAATAAGACCAATCCAACTGAAAAACTGCCCGTGAAAATCCTATTAATGTAGATAGATGTTGATAATGTGATCTGGCATAAGACTACCTAATTTCTCCAAGAGAACTCTTTGAAATGACAAACCTAGAGGTTATTCATTCTTTTCTTTTTTGTAAATGTAATGTATGCTATAAGCCATCTCTACAGAAAAACACACGCACACAATATTAAACCTATTAATTTCAGAGGGCTTCCCGGGCCTCCTGAGGCCCAACCATTGAGCTCTCTAGTCAAGTCTTAGTTCCCTAGATAACCCCTGCTACAAATACTTCATCTCACAGATGAAGAGTATAGTTACAGGACATTTAAAAGTATGACCTTTTTTTTAAACTGTATTTTCCATGTACTTTAAGATAGTGCAGAGAAAATGTATACTATATTTATGTATATTTTTCAGTCTAGAAAAAATGAGAACTTATTTGTTGAGTAAAACTCAAGTCATTTATCTAACACCAAAAACAGAAAGGCATATGAGCGATAACACCTTCACAACAAAACAGCTGAGGCGCTAGCTAATTTTACAAGGCCACATAGCTAATAAATCTTAGATCTTCCACATTCTACTTCAGTGCTTTTTAACTAAACCATGCCACCTTAAGTAAGCATATTATTTCATTGGGTAGGATAGTTTTTAAAATAAAAATCCCTTGAAACACCCACCTTCTAAGAATGACTATAAATAATTAGATCTCTTATTTACTTAATGTGATCATTCCATTTTTAGCACCTAAACACAAATTAAGGAGCAAATTATACATACTGGCTTTTCAAAACAAACCCTCTAATGCACTCCTCTCTAATCAACACAATTTGTATAAATAAGAAAAATCTAAAACAGCAAAACAAATACAAAAAATCTGTTATCTTTATACATGGACATGATTACAGACAAAAATACAAACAGCTTAAGCTTTGGGTTATTTAGCAAGGAGGTGGTATGATGCCAAAAACCACACGGAGTTTCTCTGCTTTGGGCCCTTGGTATGGGAAGAGTCTGGCAGGCAGGGACCAAGCATCTATTATCTGATGTCCACTTGGCAGACTCTACAAAAACAATGAGCCCTGGCTGCACAGCAGGAGTTAGGTATTCCAACTGCTACTTAAAGATCCACTCTAACAGAGTGGCTACAACTCAATGTGCTGAACTACAGGTGTGCCTTAATTTCTCCACTGGAAACTCAGTAATATGTTATCTGCTAATATCCCATCTTTATAGAGGCAGTACTGCTATTGTTAAGAATGCAGTCTTGGGTGGCCTGGGTGGTTCAGTCAGTTAAGCATTTTACTTCTGCTCTGGTTATGATCTCAGGGTCCTGGGATCCAGTCCGTGGGGCTCTCCCATTAGTGGGGAGTCTGCTTGTCCTTCTCCCTCTCTCCCTCCCCTGCTTGTGCTCTCTGACTTAATTTTTTTTTTTTAAATGCAGTCTCAAAAGGCTAAGGTTCAAATTGTGGCTTTGCCACTTGCCAACTCTGGCAAATTACTGCAATTTCCCTGTGCCTCAATTTCCTCAAATGCAAAATGGAATAAGAGCACCTATTTCATAGGGTTGCTGCAAGGAGTAAATAAATACATGGAAAATCTTAGAGCAGTGCCTAGCAAATAATAAGCACTCCATAAATGTCAGTTCTCATTATCATTACCTTAAACAGATGACAAGAGTAATCAACTTATACCTGTATTGGACTTAGATGTCCTCAGGAAATTACAGGCTTTAATTTTTTTTACTTTTTAATCATGTGGCTTAACTACCAGCTGTTTTTTCTAAATATAGTAAATACATGGCCAATTATTTTTGTAAAGAACTTGAAAAGAACTTACTGTACACACTGCCACCTAGGACTTACACATTAAAGTTTAGTTAACTTTTCAACTGAATGTAATTTTTTTGAAAGATTTTATTTATTCATGAGAGACAGAGAGAGAGAGAGAGAGAGAGAGAGAGAGAGAGACAGGCAGAGGGAGCCTGATGTGAGACTCGATCCTGGGACTCCGTCCAGGATCATGCCCTGAGCCAAAGGCAGACGCTCAACCACTGAACCACTCAGGTGTCCCCAACTGAATGTAATTAGACTCCCTTAACCAGAACTGATCTACTTGGATCCATTCGCTTCAACTTTCATAATCACTACCAATTCCAAAACAGCCATGGTTATTCTTACCTGGACTATTACAATGGCTGCCTAACTGTTCTTTTCCTCTCCAATCTACACTCCAGTAAAGTAGATCTTTTAAATCTAATTTTACTCCTCTACATAAAACCCTGCAATGGCTCCCCATTGCCCTAGAGAAAAATCTGACCTCCTTAAAGGACCTAAGAGGCCTGTATGACCTATTCTCCTGACTGCTCAGGCCACTGAGGTCTTTCAAATCCTTACCCTGGTTCCTTGGGTCCTCACAGCCTTCTCAGATTATGCTCTATCTGGCATAATCTTCTCTCCCCACTGCCTCTGACTCCCCAAAGGCGATCAGGTCCTCCTGTTTCTGCTGTCATAACCCTAATCCTAATCTTCTTTTCTTCTGGGCAGCACAAAATAAAACTGCAATAAAATAATTATCCAAATGGTCGTTTAATGTTCTTCTTGCTCCCTCAGAAATATAAACTCCAAGTAAGACTTAGGAATAGGTCTCTTTTCCTGCTACAACCCAAGTGCTTACATGTCCAGTACCTTATACACAATAGGTGTACACAAACCGCCTACACTACCTTATGAGAAAAACTGAGGAGACAAATGATGACAGAAGGCGAATCAACCACGAAACAAAACATGCAGAATCCTAGCTGCATTGTGAATGGCCACACGTGTTATACTGAAGTAAAAGCCAAAAACCTACTGCTAAACAAAAAGTTTAGCTAGGACTAAACTTTCCAAAGTAAAATCAAGTTTCTCTGTGCATCCTCAGATGTCATGTGAAACAAGAGGAGTTCCACTTCAGTCACCAGTAAGAAGATACACAACTAAATCAAGACTGCTGCCACATTTGGCACTACCCGCTTCCTGGCAGTCTCTGCGAGGCCAAGAGTTGAGCTGGCCAGGGAAAGAGTGATTTATCTCCCACATTTAAAAGGGGTCCCTCTACAACAGGAATGCTGTACGACTAATGGACTTTGAATTCTAACCTAGTCAAGCCACTACCTTTCCTGAGTATTCAATTCGCTTTAAAAAAAAAAAAAAAAAAAGCTGAATCTTCTGTGTCACTGACAAAAACAAGTTTAATGAGGCATCATAGTCCAATTCCATCTGGAGAAAACAAAGTTGCTTTCTCCTCCAAAATAGGGGTAAAAAAAAAAAATTATACCAACGAGATCTCTTTAACGAAAGTCATTACTCGGAAAAAAAATTTTTTTTTTTTTTTTACTTGGAAAATTAAAAGCTGGCATGCGGATGCTAAGAGGCAAAAGGCTGAGGGGGGCGGCTGTGGCAGTGGTAACTACTGCCGGCCCGGGGGGCAGTAGCGGCAGACCTACACAGCGGGCCGTCCCAGCTCCGTCGGACGCACACAGGTTTGACATACGCCAAACCCCCCGCCAGCGGGGCCGTCGCACTGACCCTGTCAATGCAACAAACGACAAGCCCCAGTCCGCGCTGTGCTGACGAGAGCGGCCCGCTCGCGTCCAGGGAAGCGCTCAGGTAAGCGCCCCGAGGTCTCGGGGTTACCCGCTTGGCCCTTTGTTCGTTCCAAGGCAGCGGAGCCCCGGGCGCCCGCTCCAGCTCCTGCTGCTGCTGCTGCTGCTGTGCTCCTCCTCCTCCTCCCCCACAGCTCCCGGGCGCCCGCGTCTCCCTCAGAGGGGCAGCGCCGACGCGGGCGCCCAGACGGCGGCGGCGGCGGCGGCTGCGGCGGCGGCGCCCCCCGCCCTCCCCGCGGCGGGTCCCGACCCCGCGGCCTCCGCGGCGCGCGGCCCCTCGCCTTTACCTTGTAGACGTCGCCGTAGGTGCCGCTGCCGATGCGCTGAATCAGCTCGAAGTCCTCCTGCGGATTCCGGCGGGACAGATCGAAGCCGGGGTTCATGGCGGGCCCCGGGTGCCCCCCGCCTCCCTCCCGGGCCGGGGAGGGGGGGCGCTCAGGGGGCCACACGGAGAGTGGGAGCCGCGGCCGGCCCCCTGCTCCCCCGGTGGTCACAATCGGCCGGCTCCACGCTGCGGCCGCCGCCGCCGCCGCTCCTCTCACGCCGCCGCCGCCGCCGCCGCCGCCGCCGCCCAGGCTAACCGTCCCCGCCCCCGCAGCCCGCCGCCGCGCCGAACCCGGGTCACACCCACAAGGAGAGGAGCACGCTCGCAGCCCCTCGCTCGGGGTGCAACTCCAACATGGCTTCCGCCTTCGCCGCTCCTCCCCCTCCCCTTACTCCGGCTCCTCCACCCTCCTCCCCCTTTTCCCGGCTCCGGCCCGACTGCGCAGCCGCGATCCCGGAGGGAGCGCTCCCCGGCCCCGCGCGCGTGCGGCCCCGTGCGCGCTCCGGCTCCGCGCGCCTGCCGGGCGTGGGCGGGCGGCCAGGCCGCCGGGGACCCGGCACCCGCGTCGCGTTCCCGAGGGCGTGACTGCCCCAGGGGGCCGTGGGGTGGTGGAAAGTAGCTCCCATTCGCTGCCGATTCACCCGAACGGCAAAGTTGGATGTTGCCCTCTCAACGTCCCAACCGTAAGCAGCTGGTATAGTTTTAATTTGCAAGACAACCAGTGTCCCCAATTTATTTTATTTTTTTTTTTTTAAGCATCTGTACCTCGGACACAGCCGAGCATCAGAGGTTTTCTGGGATTGCAGAGAAGGAGTGGCCATGAGGAAAGCCCCTGAGAGGAGTGAGCCGTGCTAGCTTGGATACCCGACACCGGGCCCCTGGAACTGGCCTGCCGAGGTGCAGAAGAGGGCAGGCCTGGAGAGCAGCCGGGAGGCGTGTGGAGTGGAGAGGGCGTGGGAAGCTCTGGGGGAAAAACACGCTGAGAGGCCGCCCGCCAGCCCCAGTGGAGGGCGTGGGAAGCAGGCAGAGCCTAGAACTAAAGCAGTGATTGACCTTCTTCTCCAGAGACGCTGGATTATCAAAGACCCGGGCGGGGACAGCCCAAGCTGTGGAGCAACCTTGCGAGGGAGAGGTTGTGGAGGGTGGAGCGTGAACAAGATCCGTCCTGCACCTGAAGTGTAAACATAAGGATGATGCGGAAGCTCTTCGGTTGACCTACCCACAACCCCACCCTGCGTGAGACCCAGATTGTGAGCATTAACAGCCAATCTATGTGGACACCAGCTCCAGCTGTTAATACCTGTGCAGGCAAGCATGTGAACATGGGTTAATTTTCTGTTCTCAATAAATTGTCCACTAGGCATTTCCAAAAGCTTTAATCGATGGCCACTTGGACGGTACCACTTGGAGTTTTGTTTCAGAAATGTCTTCCTAATATCCATAGGCACCACACCTTCTGACCACTAGTGTTCCCTAATGCCCAAACCTCTTAAGGGTAAAATAAGTATAATCAACTTTGCCTACAGTAAGATTGCATATTTATTAAGTTCTCAAAGAAGTTGTTTATCTGAGTATCTTATTGACTAGAAGATGTTGGGAAATGACCATCTGTTCGCCTACTCAAGTAACCTTCCAATTGTCTTCATTTTTAATTAAAGCATCAGTTAATACATGCATATAACTTAAATTACTGCCATATGAGTCCTTATCATGGGTTTGTTTTTTTTTTCTACCCATGATAGATCTTACCTTAAGGCTCTGGTATTTTGAGAATTAAACTCCTGAATATAAATGTTTCTCCATTCCTGCTTTTGCCTGTTTATGGCACTTGCTGGGAACCCAGACTGCAAGCCTTTCTTCAGTTTGTCCACATTTGAAGAATTGTTTGGTCTCTTTAAGCCAAACATGAGAATAATTAGTCTAGGATTCAGATAAGCAGACCTAATAAACTATCCCAAATAGGAATCAGTTCTGCTCTTTTTCTCTGCCTCTTCAATACAGGAAAGCCAAATTCTCAGCACAAGAACCTGGTAATGGTTTCACTATTTTGTTTGCTGGGATTATCATCTGTGCAGATAACTGCATTTGCATCACTAATAGACTTCTTTCAAAGAGAAAAGACATTTCAGTAGGGCTGAACCGGTCTTTAAGGTTTTGTTTGTTCCATTTTGGCAGGGCCAAGCTAGTCCTTTTGAAAAAGGATTGATTTTCATGTAAGGGCCTGATTTGCCATAGGGTTACAGCATAAATAAAAAGGCTTTTGCAATTAACTGCTCACAAAGCATAAAATATTTTGTTCTTTGTACAATATACATGCAGATGCCAAATCTGATGTCTTTGTTTTTCCTATTCCAATGCTCCTCAATGTTGCTAGAAGTAACACTAATGATCACACTTTCTTTGAATCCGAGAAATAGCTTCCCTCTTCTATGATTAGAAACATCCTTAGAAGTCATCTACTCTTTTCAATTCAAGAACTGCATCTATACCATCTTTCCTGAGTTTATTGCTAATTGAATACCTTCAGTAAAAGGAAATTCACTGCTTCCCAAAGCAACTCACCTTGTTATAAGATAGTGCTAGAGAATGATCATAATAACAACAAAAACAATAGTCACATCTAACATTACCAAGTGCCTACACAGTGCCAGCAACTGAGCCAAGTACTTCCGTGTATTATCTCATGTAATTCTCACAACAACTTGATGACATGGGTATCATCATTTTTTGAGGATAGGCAGATTAAACTGGCTCAAACTAAAGGAAGTTGAAATTTGAGCAGAGGGTAAGACACAAAGGCCTGACTCCTCTTAGCCACTAACCCATACTCTGCTTTACAGTATACTTTTTAAAATTTCTCTTATGCTAAATCAATACCTGCCTCCTTGTCATGCATTTAGAGTCAACGATTAGCCTCAAAAGAAAAAAAAAAGAGTCAAAGATTATTAGATTCTAGTGGTACAGAAAATAGAGAAGAAAACCACAGTGCCTTGCTCTCAGGGAGTTTGCAGTCTCACAAAACTGTGATATATAGGAAGGATGTTAAAGCTAAATCTTAAAGAATGTGTTGGAGTTAGCCAGAGAAGTAAAGGGGAGGTCATACACTCCAGGCTGGCTGCTTAGCCCTACCCCCTTAAAGCACCCACCTATGTAAGCATCACACTGTAGGGAGCAGGTAAAGGCCAAGATGGACAGTATATCCAGGCCACCCTTCTCTTAGCCCATCCTTCATCAGTCTGTAGCTTAGGGATTCTTTAGTCTCTGTACCAACTTTCAGTTTTAGTCTCAGGACTTCTGTCTAACCACCTGTTGGATCTGCTTCTTTGGTTTACTGACTTCATAATCACCACTCACATTTCAGTATGCCAAGAGCTCTGAGAAAGGAACACGGAGCAAGCCTTAGCTCAGAAAAAGACCCTACAACCAGGTCATCCACAAGAGGAGGAGAATCAGACACAGACATATGTGAAGCAACGACAGAGAGTTCCAGGATGTTATATAGCCTAGTCTAGCACAGCTCTGAGCCAGGCAGGCTACCTGATTCATATCTTATCTCTGTCCCCTACTGAATGACCTTCAAAAGTTATTTCAAAATGGGGCTGCTCTGGAGTCAAAACTAAAATGTATGTTAAGGAGCACCTGGGTGGCTCAGTCAGTTAAGCATCTGACTCTTGGTTTCAGCTCAGGTCATGATCTCCTTGGTCATGGGGTCAAGCCCTGAGTTAGACTCCACCCTCAGCAGGGAGTCAGCTTGAGATTCTCTCTGCACCTCTACCCACTTATGTTTTCTCTCCCTCTGTCCCATAAATAAATAAATAAATAAATAAATAAATAAATAAATAAATAAATAATAAATAAATCTTTAAACATAAATAAATAAAATACATTTTAAAGTCAGCAGTGCCTGGGCCACAGCAACCCAGAAAGTACTAATTACTATTATTTTGAATATCTTTTAGAATGTTTAATTAATTAATTTATTTATTTATTTATTGGTATAAGTGTAACTATTTTTTTTACAGGGTTAGATTAATTTCAGGCGTACAATATAGTGATTCAACCATTTCATACATCCCTCAATGCTCATCACGACAAGCGTACTCCTTAGCCCCATCGCCTATTTAACCCAATCTCCCACCCACCTATTTTAGGTTTTAAAGGATGACAGTCATGGGGATGGGCATGGAGATATTATTTAGGAAACAAATGCAATAATATATATAAGAGAACCTGATTTAAGGCCAAGGATGCTGAAACCAGAGAGAAGAGAAAGAACACAAAGATCATTAGAAGGTGGAATTGAAGGTTTGAAGGGGTGAGGAAGCAGGCAAACAATGGGTGACGTGTAGGCTTAGACAACAGGAAGGTCCCAAGAGGGTGATAGTATTTACCATAGTAGGAGGTATCAGGGTTATTTGGGGGAGGATTTTACTGTTGAGTCAAAGTAAATGATTCTGCTTCATATCTATTAAGGTGGAGATGCTCAACTAGAAACGTAAAATTGGTGACAAAAAATAGAGTTGAAACTTAGGATGTCAAGGCTAATTTTTAAATGTTGAGAGTCATAGTTTAGGAGTTATTAAGTATCTATTATGTTCCAAACACTATATTAGGTTCTAACCGTGTAACAAGGCATGGTTGGGTTACAGACAAATTCTCAGATAATTCCTTTACAATGAGATGAGTCCTAGGGTGCAGGGAAGCAGAGCCAGAAGGAGAGGTTAGGTGCTACTTAGGCTAACAATCAAGCCCTACATCAGGCTAACAATTTGGCTCTTTTTCAAGCCAATATATATTTTAAATTTTTCTTTAAATATTTTTTAAAATAATATATTCAACATTTACTTACAGGTAAGGTGGAGCTCTGCATGGAGAATAGGTGGAGATGGAAGTCCTCAGGTGTAAACTTTCAGCTTCCACCCTGATATTCTGAGCAATTCAGTTCTCCCAAATTTGCATATGTCCCAGCACAGTTATTTCTCAATGGAGGTTTTATTAGCACTTTGGGTAGGACAATTCTTCCTTGTGTGGGGCTGTCCTCTATTTCAGTACTGCTCCCAGCCACACTGACATCAACCACAAAAATAGCCGCACATATTTCCAAATGTCTAGGGTTGGCCTGGGGTGGGGGATGGGAGTGACTGGATTGAGAATGTTTGTCTATCATGTCCTTGAGAGAACTGTCACCCACACCAAACTATTTATCATAGTATTCCTTTCTATCTCATATAGGATATACCCTGAGACAAGTTCTGATATATAAAATATTGTTCCTCTTATTTCCAATGCTTAGCACCCAAGTGGGAGATTCACAACCTCTGTAGATTCACAACCAAGAGTCCACCTGCTTTTTATCACATAGTTTCTAGGATCGCATAGGAGGGTACCAAATCTAGTCTTCACAGGTTATGGAAGACTTCACAGAGGAAGGAACCTCTAGGCTGAGACTTAAAAGACAAGTAGAGAATTAGGCAAGCAAAAACCTATACTCCATACCAAGCATACAGTGGTTACATCCAAAGAAACAAGTAGTTCTGTTTAAGGAGAGTAGCAGGAGAGGCTAGTGTGGTAAGCAATGACTGGTCCATTAAGGAGCATGTAAATTATGTTAAATAATTTGCATTTCCTTTTTTAAAAATTTTATTTATTTATTCATGAGAGACACAGAGAGAGGGAGAGAGAAGCAGACTCCTCACAGGGAGCCTGATGTGGGACTTGATCCCAAAACTGGGAGCACGCCCTGAGCCGAAGGCAGATGCTCAACTGCTGAGCCACCCAGCCGTCCAGGCATTTCTTCTTAAGAGTGCTGTTGGGTTTTCAGCACAGGAGCAGGGTGATCTCTTTTGCTCTTTAGACATACTCCACCAGCTACAGATGGAGAATGAGTTGCAGTCAGGTGGTAGGACTGGAGATGAGTTAGGAGAATAGTTCAGAGGCCATTGTAGCAGTCCAGCTAGGAGAAAAAAGATGGTCTGAGTTAACATATGAACTCAGCATCCCCCTTCAGTCATGTATTTGAATTGTGGGTTGAGATGAATTTTCATAGGGAAAATAAATGAAATAGGCAGAAAATGGGTTCCTAGAAAACCCCAACATTTAAACTGTGAGCAAAGGCAGAGAATCTAGCAAAGGAGGCTAGGAAGGTGAGATCCAATATGATATGTGGAAATGGAATGATGTGGTAGCCATAGGAGTGCACCACTTAGGATTCCCTTCAAGGTAGCATATGCTGTAAGGAGTGTGAATTACTGACAGCCTCTAGCCACCATGCCTTTGGCATCCATCACAGCCTTCATGCAGAGATCTCAATCTCCCCAGATGCTCCCAACCAGTGACTGAGCACAGCCAGTCATTCCTCCCCAATGCAATTTCCTCTACTGGACAACCTTTGCTATGGGGCACCCCATTGGCATCACTGATCTAGTCTCAGAGCTTCCCTGCAGACTGAGGCTCTTCCTCCCCAGGCTGCCTTCCTTCTTTCTCTCCTTTCACAAGTTTTAAGCCATGCATTGCAGTCTGAAAGCCTTCCTACTCTTGCTGCCTTTCCTCTTTATCCTTCACATGTGCATCTTGCATTTCAAATTCAGTTTACCATCTGCTGAACTAGTACAATTGATATCAATGCAGCAAAGGAGGGAATTTTAAGAGTTATCAAGCTAAGTTAAATTCCAGAGAGAGATTAAGGAAGAGAGAGACAGAAAAGTTTCATCAGATCTGTCATTATGGAGGTGAGTGCCAATCTAATTATTGAAGTTCATAGTCCTTTTTCTACTATTGTGTTTCCTCTTAGTTATATTCTCCCATACATCATAATCTTCATACATCTCATCTAGATTCCCTTATTATGAACACATTTAATTCATTAATATCTTTTTAAAATTTGGCACCAGGAAGTGAGTTCAGTATTCCAAATGCAGTTTGGTCAATGTTGACTATGGCAAAATTGTAACTATCTGTTATTTGAACACTCTATTATAGCCTAAACTTTCAGGGTTTTTTATAGCCACAACAACTCAGGGTCACTGTACTGCTTGACACCAGGGAATGCCATTGAGATTATACAATCCTCAAATCCAAACCTGGCCCTGGGTCCTAATTTTTAAAATCTCCAAAACCCTGGAGGTGCCTGGGTGGCTCAGTCGGTTAAGCATCTGCCTTCGGCTCAGATCATGATCT